AACGTAATGTAGGTATCTTCTTAATAAAAACTTAAAATTCGGGTTCAATGACCTGGGTCAGGTAGATAAGTTCACCTTGTTGATCCACAACAGTAATTTGCATTTATCTGAGAATGTTAGAGAAATTGTGCTAAAAGATAACTATTAACTATAGTAGGTAACTATGTTTACCATATATAGAGGGACAAATAAAAAAATATTTTTGTGACTAGCTACGAGTTTTTTCATTTAAATCTCGTTCGCAAAAAAAACGTTTATGCCGTAGCCGTGACTACGTCGTAGCACGATTTTGTAGGCGACCTACGAATGCGAAAATATAAACAAAAGGCAGGTTTTTCGTATTCACAACGTTTACTTAACATTAAAATGTGAGTAAAACTGAAATATTTTAGTACATTTGTACATTTTAAAAAATGTGCTCCTTTAATCTTTATTTTGAACATGGATTTTCATTCTTTAGTCTACAAACCTAAATATATTTAGGTGCGTATGTATACCTGATATTTTATCTTACATTTGAGCCTGAAAAGGGCCTTCAGTATTGTGTATCGCTTCATTAATTCGGTTCGGTATGGGAGAGGTTCAATATGTCCCTGCCTCGAGGCTTACCCTTGTCAAAATAAAGGACTTGTTACTCTTCTAGTTTCTTTGAAACATATGTAAAACTCACACGTCGGAAGGAAACGTGTTTTATATTGAAATATGTTGTTTTGTAAAGGAGATACTTTCATGTTTCTATTAGAAAAAGTAGTACATACTTCTGCATTTCGTTAACTTGACATTAATAAGGGCTGATTTTTCCGAAGCCAGATAAATTTTAAATGAGGAATAACTTTGAATTTTTGACAATTCTTCCATACTAAAAACTGTTAATTTTAATTTTATTTTACAGTTAAGATTTTTCTAACGATTAAAAAATCGGCACTAAGAAGTTAATATTACTACTATAATAATTTTTACGTTAAAAAGTGTTCAACGACAATTTGATATTTTTTTATAGTTTATTGTAATAAACTATTATTCACCTACATCGTAAAAAGTGAACAATAATATAATACTGAAGTGAATGTACTTAAAAACTTCAATTTACATTACCGAATTTCTAATACCCTAGCTACATTTGAATTGAATTAGCAACGAGGAACTGTAGAACTAAACTGAACGATTGCATGGTGTTAATTATGTACTTGTGAAATACCTGCCGTGGAAGATAAAAAGTTATTTCGAACGCTCGACTTCGTCTCATTAAAATTTCAAGGAGCGGAACAAACAGAACGGCATTCGCTTTGCAATATCCGAACGCGGAATTTAAAAGTTTTGCAGCGAGAATAGTTGCCATATTGTTAGGCCTTTTTGTGACGTTTTTCTCGATTTTTCGCTCGCCGTTTTCCAGCTGTTATGAGAGGAAAAAGAACAATGATATTTCCGCTTCGTAACTTTTTAAGTTTGTGAAGTTATTTTAATTTCTGTAGGTACTCAGTGTTTACTGTAACTACTCATAGATTTACTATTCATTACGGTCATACAAAATGGTTCATGAAATATACATGTTGGTATCAAACTTTGGAATAGAAATAGAGTACAATGTGATCAATCAGACGTACCTACATAAACGAAACATCAATTTCGCTAATATAGTCAATCAGCGTCAGTGATCTGCAATCAATGTGCATTTATTGATAGTGTATCGTGAATAAAACGAACGAATAAAAATTCCCAGTTCATGATTCATGGCCAATATAACCCCTCTAAATAAGTTTGTGCCAATGAATTTTAGTCTTTATGAACCCGCATAAACATGAGGACTTGGATCTAAACAAAATAATACCCCACCGAATTCGAAAGTCTCTGCATATACGGAATATCTATATTGCTAACATACGTCCCGATTCGGTTGGTTAGCCGCCATTTAAATAGGGGACCAAAATTTAATGTCGTGGATTTAAATTTTTCTGATCGCTTTAACTTTATACGCGGGTAAGCAGTTATACGCCGACTCCTTGCTGTTTTACGACTTTATCAGTTAAATACTTTGGATACTGTTTTATGTTTGGCTACTCTGAAGTAAACGCTAACTCTAAATATATAAATAGGGTATATTGGAAAGTATGTAAAAAGATATTGGTTGCACTTAAAATTTCGTAGTCAGTGGTGCCAGAAACTGTACACATGGCATATGTAAGGGTATATACCTATTTACCCTGAAATCTGTAATAATATTGGAAATTCTATGAAATTGAGGAACCCGGTCCGGGGGATCAGGTTAAGGGATTCCCGTCCCGACCCATAACCCTGCAGATGCCGAGGTAATAACCTTACACGGATCAATCCGCCGGGTTACTAACCGTTCACTTATTGCCTACATTAAAGACATTTACGTAATACTATTGACGAACATTACTGAATTCATTACACTTTATGCATTGTTTGGCCAAGCCATAAATGATAAGTATGTATGCGATATTGTGCCAGGAATGGTAGCCACATGTGACAAACTAGCGATACATTGACTCGCCAACCGCCACATGTTTGGACGGTTATTGCCATTACGACAATTAACTTTATCATAATAATAAGTTAAATGAACTAACAATAGAGTAGATCATAATAAATATGAAGTATGTCTCACCAAATTCGTTTTATCCATGTTCAGCACAGTTGATACAAATTGTTGAAAACTTATTACTTTTCTAATGTTTATTATCTATAAAGCACCGTAAGCTTACAGTTACAACGTCTAACGCGAAAAGCAAAGACACGTAGCAAGGCAACACTGATCTTATATTAGTGTCCGCGAAATTATTATCATTGTTGGCATACAAAATTACAGCAAATTAAATTTTGTCCGTCAAGCGACCGGTACGCGAGATCAAGTGACAGAAGGCACAACGCATATGGTCCACTACATCGTCTAAGATACACTTATTAACTAACACCAATGTTTAAATGGAATAATAACAGTCCACGAGATTAGCGTGTGGCGCGTTGGTTCCGCGATCCTTTGTTAAGTGCGGTCCAGCTCCATGGCGCCAGCTGTGATCGGCGTGCTCGGTTCGACGAGCGCGCGTCTGGCGACGGGACGATCGATGCCGGCAACAGATTTACATTTTCCGTCGAGGAAATCGGGAAAGTTTGTCACGTGCGTGTGTGAGCGCGGGCGGCGAGTACGGCGCGCCCGCACGCCGATAGTGCGCGGCGCCGAGTGCCGCCCGCCCTGCCGCCGCCGCCGCGCCGCCACCGCCGCACGCCACACACAGCACACAGCCACACCGACACTACTCACTATATGACATTGAAACCCTCTATCCCAACAGCTTATATCTCACACGTTAATGCCTCCAGTGTTTTAAGCACGATTAGCCCTCGAAGTGAAAAATAGAGCGTAAATAATTTGGTTCGAAACTCATTATGGTGTAATCGATTGACAATATTATAGGAAAACGCAGAAAAACCATGATAGCATTCTGAAGGAATCTGTGCCTAAAAACGTAGGATGTCATTGAGCACCGCATCGAAAGTACAGTTTTATGTCAAGATCGTTAAGGTACCGAATGGTGCGGTGCTGTTAGGGGTGGTTAGGGTCGCGGCGGTGGTACAGAGGTGACGTGCGGGGCAGGGGCGGCGTGAGACGTAGGAGTATCGATTTTGGTCACCCCGCCCTCTCCCCTAACGTTGCGACAGTGTGAGTGAGCCATATAGTCGTCACTGCGAGATCGTTGGTTGCACACCGCGGGAAGCAGCGTCCAAATATTAACAAAACGCTTTGTTCACACTACCAGACTACTAACAGTACTAACACTCCGCTAACTGTCGCAACCAGAACATTTACTTGCCTTTGATTTCTGAATGGTGAGTCATATCAATGCGCTGCGTAAGGCACTACTAGAAAAGTTGGTACTCGATTTTTGTATTTCTTATTTAGAATGCATCTAAATATAACTAAAGTTTTTGGTTACGTGCAGAAAACAAGTTTTTCTTATTTAACAGTTTTTTTAATAACATCTAATATTTTTTTATTGTTTATGTTTATATGTTTATTATTCTTGTCAATATCATCCCTACAATAGCAGTCTTGGCTAGATTTACATTACCGCGAATCAATTAACCGAGACGTAAGAAATGATCCGAGTGACACACGCGTTAGACCATCGTTACATTATGTCGAGAGTGACGGAAGGCGGGCCGACCACTTGTGGATTGAGAGGCTCAGCCGACGCTATTGGAAAATGGATTTCCTTAACAGTTAAACAACTTAAATACATAATAACCCTAAAGAATCGCCTTTACAATAAACCTGACCATTTCAAGCCAAAAAAACTCCAACAAAACACAAACGAAGGTCGCATGTTCCGAAAGTTCCTAATTCCCTCGTCAGCAAATTTTTTCAGCGTGACACGTTCTGTTATTTTTTCATTTTATATTTTGGAAATAAAGTATTTCTAGAACCCATTTGTATTGCCAGACATCTGTAAAAGGGTCGAATCGATACATCTTTCTACCTGACCGGTTACATAAACTCTGTTACATAAATCTAGAATGGAGAAACAACTAGCTTAGTTTCAACTTAAGTTTTAAAGGGTCGTTACGTTTCTCAACCTACTGGGGCTTAAATACAGTGGAACTCTTATCTTGTGGTTTAATGACAGTGAATACATTGCTTCCAAGGCGTTTAATTAAGAGTTTAAAAAGAGTAATAAAACGGTATACAATTCAGTGTGTAGCTAACTCTACACCCCTAAAAACCTTAAAAAAGCACAGCCATTACCGGCACAATTCTACCACAGCAATGAATCTCACGCCCTGAGGGAGCCTTTTAATTTGTGTTTTATTGCACGTCGACGAGAGCCATCACCTTCGTGAATTTAAGCGAATGCCTAACACAACAACAATGTACTATCCTATTAAGACCACTTAGACCATTAGAAATGCTACATTGGAATAAATTGTCACAGAAAAATATTCAGAAACTATAAGTAAAACTAAATGCTCTAAGGACTAACCTTTCGTCAAGTTGCTGTAGCTGCGAAGGCTGCTGGTAGTTCATCCGACGACCGTACAGCGAAGCGCCTCCTTCCGACATGTATCCATCCATCATATCGTTATTTCTCGCACACTCCATTTCTCCAAGATTTATCCGTCGTAAACAATCACCGTCTGACATGTACCCTGAAGCTATTTCAAGATCACAATAATCCGGGTTGGAAAATCCGGGACCGTAATTAATACGGTCACGCAATCCCATATTTTCTCTGCCAAAATTTGCTTTCACCGTGTTAGCGTGATGAGGATAACCGGGAATATTTTTTTGCGTTAAGCCCGAAGTTCTCATGGGCAACGTCAGATGACTGTTGTACCCTCGCAACAATGGTCTCATGGGTAATACATTCATCATTGGATTTTCTCGTCGCCAAGTGAATTGTCACGACAATGAGATGGCGTACTAGACCGACTGTCGTCCATCCTTTTGTTCAACTCAGTCAAAGTTCTGTTATGATCAAATGTAGGTTTTGGAACAGACTTGTCCAAAGGTCTCCTCTGTGCTGCTTCTTTTTCTGATATTTCTGCTTCATTTATAACTTCATTTATATAAGTAGTATTCATGTCCAGTCTTTTATTCACGTTGCTAGTAGCAGTTTTAGATATTTCTGAACCAGATTCACTGGAAGGACGGTATATAACGCTACTATCACTGGAATTAGAATGTTGCCCTATAGTACTGTGAGTGGAGTTGGAATGGGAACTTTCAGACATTTGCGAAGTATGAGTATGACTTCCCGTGTTAACAGGCATCGGTGATACAGCCAAAGTCTGTTTCTGTGTTATATCTTTACTTAAATTAGACTGTTCTCTACTGAATGGAAGTGCACTTACGTTATTAGTAGAATTTAAACTAGAATTGCTTTGTATAGGACTTAATTGACTATTTGTACTTTTGTGTATAATATGTCTATCATCTTTTGCTATTTTGAAAGTTCCTTTCACAGCAGCTGTTGGTTTTGGAATTCCCAGTTTGGGGTCCAAAATTTGTGCAGCTGCTTGGTTCTGGCTTCCTTGACTTGATGGTGGTGATACATTTTCGTTGCTCTGATGGTTCTTAATGTCTGATCTGCTATCAGATCGTTTTTCACTGAGTCTCATTTGACTACCGGAAAGTTTCACCATCTTCGAGTTAGAATTCCTTGAATGGTCATCGATTTGGTTTAGTTTGGTGTTACTAATAGATTTCGGAGCAGCCAGTTTGGACTCTTTATCACGAGCAGGAAGCTTCGGGCTATTTCTCGATTTGTCACTACTGCTTGTTTTACTGCTGCTCTTGCTCAAATTCGTTGAAGATTCTTTAGGGGATTTGGAACTAACTAACTTAGATTTAACATTTTTACCAGACTTGTCTTTTGATAAAGTATCGTTTTGTTGCCGTATTTTGGGTCCTACTAGATTAGAAGATTTGATATGTGAGTTGGGGGTATTGGAAGACTCATTGAGACTGAGACTGGAGTCGGATCTTTCACTTTTGGCTGATGAGAAGCCACTGGATGAACTGGTTCGTTTTGATACTGCAGTACTCTTGCTGTTTTTATTCTCATTACTTATTTTGTCTTTGTTGAAAAGCTTCAGTTTGTCGAGCATGGAATGCTTGGTAGGTGTTCCATTTTGACTGGACGGTGATTGTTGGTGCTGCTGAGTTTGCGACAATGTCGATGGGATTTTACTTCCGGGTGCTAGGAGCGAGGAGTTGGGTCGAGACCTGCAACCAAAGAAGACATTTTACTCATATTTATATACTATTATTATTTATATACTAATTTGTCCTGATTGCAAATACGTCCGGTAGTCGTAAACTATACCTGCGATGATTATTTAATTTAATACGTCAGGAAAGCAGTACGTCGTATGGGACTTATACATTTTTTTTAAAAAAAAAAACGTTGCCCCACTTTAGGATTTTATCCTGTGTCGTGGGTGCGTTTACAAACATACAAGTTCACATACACAATAACACCCAGACCCGAAACAACAATTTGTGGATCACACAAAGTGTTGTTCCGTGCGGGAATCGAACCCGCGACACGTTGCACGGCAGCTGGTTGCTCAGCCACCGCACCAACCGTGCAGTCATATTATTTCCATCATAGTCAGATTTCTGATAAAAGCGTGTATCTGCAATTCATCCTTTAGGGAAATTTGCTTACAATGGAAAAACACAATATTTAAAAAAAACATTAATGTTACATACACCATTTGTACAAAGATGTTTTGTATGATAATATCATCATGATAGGCACATTAATAATGTTTATTAGTTACCAATATTAATACTCCACCGACCTTACAGAAGAGTGTACCTAAACAAATTATGTACAGTTAATTAATTCTAAATAGCATCCACCGTCAAACAAAACACCGACAGAATACGGACGAAAACCACTTAAAAGTTTAAAACCAGCATATTAGATAAACAAGCAAAGTTACCCGGATGAAGAAGTTGGCGCTCGCGGTATAAAGCTGACAGCTCCCTGTCCCAGCGGGCTAGTCGAACGACTGGAACTCGCAGACAAACCGCTTTTGCCACCTGCAATAAAACAATAGCATTCCGTCAATGATTACATTATAACTAACGACACCGTCCTATAAACTATCTAACTCACATACACCTACAGGAATGACGTCAATTTTTATCCGGCCTATATTTACAAACTTATCTAGCACACCAAGCTGAGCAAATATTATCAATGAAGACCAAACATTCACTGGATAAGTCTGAGCTTTTATCAAATACACGGGTGGTCCGTGGTGCGCGCGCGACTAGTACTAAGCTGCAACGCGAACAGTGCATGCGCTATAGGCAAGGCACCCACCAAAAATAAATGAACCCTAACACCCCTTCTACTCAACACAGTGTGTTCACACGCAAGGGAACTTCGATTCAATGCAGCAGATCACCTAACGCTGGTCTGCTACTAATCAATAACGCCGACCAAAATAATAATTCGTGATGTCATTACATTACTTTTGAAATGTATGCGTGTGCGTAAACTAACCCTAAATAAGGGACATTAATGAGTCAATGGAGGCTATAAATAGTCCACATTATAGGTTCCCAGCTGTAACTAATACTGTTTGTTTTGGCACTAGATAATAGTGTTATAAATGTTATGATACTTGCCCTATTCGTTGGCGAAAGTATACTAAGTATACTTTACATGTTACAGACTTAGTAACGTTCCAATACTGATGACACACAAGGAAATTGGTTTTGTAATTATTACTGTCTCTTGTAGCCCTATAATTACGTAAGGAAATACTTCGTTAAGACAGTATAGTTTTATGGCAGTCATTACAAGTGTGCGTAGGTGTCTACGAATTTAAGTAACTACTAATTATACATAATAGCATAAAACATAATATTACGCTTACATTTTCCCTGAAGCGGTAAGCAAAGTTGTCGTGTGTTGCCAGTGCCACCCATACAATTTTTGAATTGTATATGTTATTGTCCTATTGGGTGATAGAGGTAAACTTAAAAAATGATACGATATCCACTAAATCAGAACTCGGACTTTGAGCCTATAAAAAAAATAATTTATCCTACCTAAAGTTTGCGAACACTCACGTTTATACAGATCTAAGTGCGGTCCACTAAATTTGCAGATTGAAAGTTTTATTTCCAAAAAAAGACAAATGAAGCACTCATCTTCATTTAAATAACTGCCCTCATCTAATCATCTCCATTCACTAAAGCCAGTTTAATTTAGTTCCCTGACTCATAGGTAATCACAACTTAGTATGCAACATAAACTTTGAATAGACACAACTAACAATGGCTACATTCAGGTGCATAGTTCGAAGGAAGCAGATCGTTGTAGTGTGCCAAATAACATTGTCAATCAACTGTGGACTACATCCGTTATTTATTCAGGCCGAGACTATCCATCACTTTAGCTAGGACGATAGCACTTTACTATGTATATTGTATAGCCACTATTTTATTTTCCTTACAATGCTATATAATTTTTTATTAAGAATAATGTCTGGTCAAGAATAAATTACAATAATTGAAAAAAGAATCAAGTGCCCACTAACTTCAAGCAACTAAACAAAAAAGTTTTTATAATACTCACAAAAATCTTCAAGTTACCCACATAATTTAGCACAAATAACAAGAAACTGGCCGATACCACCATAAACTAATAATAATCACAGACACCCACGAAAAAATAATCATAACATTCTATTGTTCCGAAGTAATTTTAAAATTAGAACGTCAATGAGCGGCCGGTATGAGTCGTGGCCGTCAACTGATGCATCTGCATCAAGCTCGGTTCAACATCTACGCGATATCAGCGGGCCACGGCAAGTCTCAAGATAACTCGACTCGCGTGAGAATCATAACAATCGTGTTGACATAATGAATTCGTGTCGCAAAATCAAAGTTAATGTTGATAACAACATTTTCACAATGCCCGGAATAATTTGAGTAGAAGTTTTTAGTTTAGATAGATAGTATCTATAAATAATCTTTTGATAAACTCAATCAAATGTTTAAAGAGGCATCATTTTACTCACGTCCAGGACACAATTAATTTTGAGGATAAATATCAATTAAAGGAGATACAAAAATCTTGTTCCTAAACAAATAACAATAAATCTCTAAATGAAAACAACTAAATCCAATAATCCAGCCGAGCGAGACTTTACTATGCCCTCGGGCCCCAATGTTGGCCACCCTTTGTTCCCTCGCCAAGATGCCCTTGAATAACAAGAGGGCAACATGAGGATATATTATTTAAATAACACAAACATACACTACACGCATTCATACTTCATACTTACTTATGGAAATAAAAAATAAATGTTCTAACGGATTTCTCAGTACAATATTAATCCCGATTGAATCATTCAAAATAAATACGAAAGAAAGTGATCCAATATCAAACGTTTATGACTACGATCCTTGATAACGAATATGACAAAAAATCTGAAGATAAGAAGGAGGACGATTCATCACACGTGTGCTAGCCAGTATTCATCAGCATGTGGGCAAGATATAAAACGGATGGCGTTAGGGCACTTATCAGTGAGAGTAAGTGAATATACTTCGTGTAAACCCTTAGGTATGGCATTCGGTGTTTATTTTAGGGACGTCCCAGTCCTCAGGTGGGTTTACGAGCGACAAATTGGCTTGCGGCGACGGGTTGTGGAAATGAAAGCTAAAGGTCGTCCGCAAATTCATATTCGACGTGTACTGCGAATTTTTGAGATGGAAGTACGTGTTGTACATTCGAGGAGGCTGATTGTGTTAAATATTTAAGGGCTGCTGAACAAAATCAAGACGCAGAACGCTTTGTAGAAGATGGTTCGTGAGTAAAGTGTTGCAATCTTATTTACTTGAGTTGATTGGCAATTTGGTATTGAATTTTATGTTGTAGCTATTCTGTGAGGGAGGATAGAAAATAATTGACAGATAGGATTCTATTTTAACTTATTACTTAGTAGAAGAAACGTTTCCTTAGTTCGCGTCAGCGTGTTCCTTCTGTCATTAGTCTCAATTTACTTTGTTTATCTGTATCGAGGCGTTGCAGTGTTGAGACAAACAGACGCACAGACGCCTCCCACCGAGTGCAGAGGCTAGATATCGACGGGAGCGCTAAATAAGTAATTGGATTTAATTAATTACACTTCTCACTCACAAGCTGCACTTTATACCGACGTCTGGTCTGCGAAGTATTCTCCTCATAAATTATTGCTTACGCAGATACCTAAACTTACGAATACCAGACTTATTATGCCGA